TTGTTTCTCTTTTTTTTTTGTTTTTTCATATAGACCACTCTCATGCAAGTGAAGTGATACAGATGAAATATTTAACATAAATTAAAAAATGTCAGGGTTATTCATTTTAACAAAAATGTATTGAGTCCCCACAATTTATAGCCTCTTGGGAATGCACTGGTATTATAAGACAAGATGAGATCCTTGTCTTCATTACATTCTTATGACAGTAAAGGTAAATCTTGACATGAAGTAGTAAACAGTTGGACGTAGGTTAACTTGGAAAGGAATAATACAATGACATTCAATTAGAGGGAAAAACAATACGAAAGACACAGAGACAAACAAAACATGATGTGTTGGATGAACTATTTATTATAGGCGTCTGGTCATATCATTAACCTATTTAAATCTATCAACCAATCTTCATCAAGATAAAATTTAAACCAGTAAGCATAGCACATATATCCCTGAGTGATCTGGCCTTTGTGAGTCCTATCATTTGTCTTACTTATACCTTTCCTTTAGTTGTAAAAACTTATCATTTTCTCTTTATCGCTCTGAATTTTTGCAAGTGCTTTCCCCTCTATGTAGTGCCCTTATGGTTTTTACACATAAGTACATTGTCTTGCTTCTAAAATCTCTGTCCCTAAACTTCCCCTAAGGAATTTTTGACATTCCCTTTGTTTGTTTGAAATCTGAAGGCTTTGCTTCTGTGGATGCCTATAAATAATTTCAAAATAATAAAGTAAATCATGTAAACACTAAACTATAAATGCAGCTTTTCTAACAATGGTAGTGGGAGATAAAAGATAAAATAAGTTTTTTTTTCTGTTTCTAGTCTACTTGTGAAAGCAATATAAATGCCAATCACCTTCATCTTTGAAACAAGTTTAGAAATATAGCTACAAATAGATACTTTATAGTATATATTGATACTTTTGATAGAAAATTACAATCTAGTCAGTACAATACTCTTAACACAAACAACATGTCTCTTTACTACTGAGTTCTATTGGCTTATTAAAAGAATTTGACATTTTATTAATTTTGTATTACACTATTTCCAAACAGTCATTTAAGTTGATATTTATAATCTTTATTCATACCTTATTTTGTCTTATTTTTAACAAAAAAGGGTCATGGGAGAGGTTTTACTAATGGTGTATTTAAAATTAAGTGTGATATAATAACCTGTATACAAGTGTTGAAATTATTTCCTGTAAGATTTGATCCTTCATTATAAATGAAGGATTTTCTTTTTATTTCCCTTTTTTGTGGAATTTGGGGAGAAATGGCAGGCAGATTGAATTGATTTGGCCTTTAATTTGTCTGCTTTTTGCTAATTAACTTTGCAACCTTGATTCAGTCACTCAATCTTTCTGATTTTCTAGTATTTTGTAAAATGAATTTAGATGGTTTATAGTCTTTTAAAATGGTAAGATTATCTGAGAAAATATATTACATCTCTTATCCTATTATGAACTTGTTACCAATGAGAAAAACAATGGATTTTAGCTTTAGGCCTGGAGATTTATCTATTTCATTGGACTATATTATAAAATTAAAATCTGTGTTGTATAGATGCTCAATTTTATGTATTTAAGACTAGCTATGCCATGGAAATGCAATTTATTCATATAAATTATTTAGTCAACATCCTGTTTTATTATGTGCTTAATGGATGCTGTTGAATTACTATTTATTACAGAATTAATGATGTAAATTTATAGTTAATATTATTGGTATTCAGTTTTAGGAAAGTCAGTTCTGTCCTCACACTAATGTGAAGGATAAAACAAAAATAGCATTTTAAAAGACTATAACCCTCAGGAAGACTGGTGCTTGTTTAAACACATTGTAAAGAAGTACCAGGATGTTGAAGATAAAAGGCAAGACCTTGGCATATGAAATTCTTTAGATAACTCTGGTCCAAGTTCACTGTGGAAGAGGTCATACTTCACAATTATTGTATTTGTATTGTGGAAAGAAGCATAGGAAGCAAAGGAGTAGCACAGGTGAAGAAGATTGTCATAGGTCACAAAGGACCAATTGTTCATTGCTTTTGCCTTGAGCCTTTAGTTTTGCATTTTAAAGTTTTCTTGAAAGCATATACTTAAGTCTTATCCAATTTGAAGGTCTTTATTGAAGGTATTGTGAGTGCCAGCAGTTATAACCTCTAAAATGAAAACTCACTCAAAGGGAAAAGGATAAAGATATACACAGAATTTAAATTTAATGTAAACTATACTTTCAACAGTAAAAATAAATTTATATTCTAGTAAAAATTATTAAAGGAATCTAGAAAACTTAAATAAGGGACCAGGAAAATGAATATAAGAAAGTGAAAATCAAAATCAACAAAAAACTATGAACCAGAGACACTTTTTGGGGGGTGGGGGGTGGGAGGGGAAGGATTGGGGTCAGAATGGGGCATTTGCAATTGTATGGGGGAATATAAAAATAAAATTTAATAAAAAAAAAAACCTGGAAACAATTTGACCAAAAAAAAAAAAGTCTATTTTTATGAATAATTACAGATGGAATTATGGATAAAAAAAAAAAAAGTGTATTCCAGACCAGTTCACTGAAGATTAAAGATAATCAAAGGCAGGACGGACCTTACATTTTTAAATGAAGAATTCATTTTGGGTTTAGGTTTGGTAGGTCAAAAAAAAAAAAAAAAGTTAGTGAGGAAATTCTTCCCACTATGGTTATTGTGAAGATGTCTAAATCAATTTACTAGAGTAGTCCCTGGGCTACTAACATAAAAGGCATATAGTATATGAACACATTGGTGTATGTGACTTTAAACCTGAAATCTATGTAATACCTATCATAAACCAATGTTACTTGAATGAAGATAATTTTAAAAATGCTGGTGAGTCTACATGTTATACTTACATGAACTTCTGAGGCAGTGTTTTCAAAATCAAGTATGTATAAGTAAAACTGCATATCTGTGGGAAAAAAAAAAAACAAACAAACATAGATTCTTACATCCCACAACAAAAGAGTTGTATCTAATGTCCAAACCCTGATACCTGCACACCCTTTTCTGGGGAGAGAAAAGAAAGTACATACCTTTAGATATTTTGCCTAAAATATCAGAGGATGAAATTCTCTAAAATTTTATAAGGGATAAGGATAAAAGAGCAAGCTTATTTATCTCATGCCATATAATGGAATAAGAAGCTTTATTTTGTGCAATTATGAATAATAACTGATAAATGCATTTTAACATGCTTATGTATATGTATGTGTATATATATTTTTTCACACATGCATATCTAATCTTAGATAATCCTTATGCTAACCTTAGATGATTATAGAGAATAACCTTAGTAATTCTCAATATTCAGATAAAAAACAGTGAAACTGAAAAAATGCAATTTATGCAATATCACACATGATAGAATAAAAATTCTAACCCAGGGATATGCGGTTACAAATCCTTTGCTCAATATCACCCAACTAGGATTATTACCAATATATTAGGGAGTAAATATTATAGAACTCATTATACATAGTGAAATATTATAGAACTCATTATACATATACATTATACATAGTGAATGTGCTGGCAGGATAAAGGAACAGATCGATAAAATACTTAAATGACTTGATAAAAAAAAGACATTAAAAGAAGCTAGGATCATGAAGGGTAATATCAGGGAGTATGTACATCTCCTGGCTGCAGCTGGAGACTGATCACCACCTGGGAGCATAACGGGTACACCTCAAAATGACAGTGCCTTTATTCCCACAATATGAAAAGTAGGAATCTTTGGAACATACATTACATTTTAAAACTTCCTTTTTTATCACTATCATGCTTTCATTTGCATCTAGCTGTGAAGATATCACTAAGTTTGTAAGCAAGATGTCATCACCCTCATCATCATTTTTTTGATCTACTATAAACATTGTGCCCTTAAAAACCTCAGTTGTAAAAATAAAGCTCCAAAACTCATTAAAATTTGATGAATTTTACTGGCTAATTTTAATAATGAAGTAATAAAATCAGGCAAGAATGAATACAAATATTTAATTCATTAGAGAAGTCTAAGAGATTAGTTTTAAATGGATTACTTTGGAGCAGTATTGTAATAAATGTAAATATGAAATTATTTAAAGTCAATGGATATTATTAGAGATGTTTAATATTTTCTATGTATTTAGACTAATGATATATTCAGCAATAATTTGATTATCATGGTGTTATAAGCTTAATAATTTTCAGTGCCCATGATCTGTATTTTCCTTAAAGTTATGCAAAAAAAAATAATATAAGCTCAGAATATTATGATGACTATGCCTTTTAAATGAAAGGAACTTTGGGCTACCTTAAGAAAATTCTGGTCCCCAAATAGAAATTATAACATTTTTTAAACAAGAATTATGATTTAGTTAGTCTTTAAATCAAATTTCAAGTTTTTCGTATTATATGCTTTAAAGAAGATTGAAAAACATATTTAATTTTTTCTAACTATTTTGCACAATGATTATTTTATAATCCTGACTCCTGGCTTACATTTGCATTGTAATTGATTTGAGCAACAGAATTAATAAAACAGTCTATATTTTGTTTTCTGTGTTATTTTAATCAATACTCCCTCTGCTGGTTTTAATAGGAAGAGAGCCCCAAGGACAGCTCAAATTACTAGATATTTTACAGAGTGCTTTTTGCTATCAGAGAGGCATTAAAAAGTAAAGTCAGAAGTCAAGCCATGTTAATTTACTAGCTTTATTTGTATAGCTATTCCATTTTAAATTCACACCATTCATCTAAGTAAGAGAAATTGGTACCTGAGGCATTTCCTCTCTTTTTTTATTAAGATAATTTCATAAAGACATTACATTTTGGCGGGTGCTTTCATTTTCTGTTCTTTTATTCTGAATCACTTCATAAAAATATGAAATTTCCTCTCCTGTAAACCCAACAACCAAATGTGGGATGCAGTCTGTCATTAAATGTGATGTAGATTTTTACCCATCTTGTTCTCTCTCCTTCTCTGCAGGTACTCCATCTGTACTGTGTACATCGAAGTGCTTCCCCCAAACAATCAAAGCCCTCCCCGCTTCCCACAGCTGATGTATAGCCTTGAAATCAGTGAGGCCATGAGAACTGGTGCTGTTTTATTAAATCTACAGGTATGCTGTTTAGTATATATATAAAGTTCTGTAGCAGCAACCTGAAGGCTAATGGATTTATATTTGTGCAGGAGGGTGGGGGTTGGGGGGCACTCACATGTCTGTTTATGCTCTAGTGAATGAAAATTCCATCTGGAAAGGAAAGCAGGGATAATATGGATGGAGGGTTTCCACAGCTAATCTATTCTATTGATTGTCACAATTGAAGAACTAATGTAGCTGGCAGGGATTAGCCACAATCATTAAAAGAGAGATTGAAGGGATTGGAAACACGCTCTTGAATATTTTGTATATTGCACCAAAGAGTCTGCAGCTGACTATTATTTTCTGTCTTGGATTTTTTTGCCCCAGCAGGATTTATTTTTGCTGCAGTGTTGTAAGAGAAAATAACTTCAGATTCACTGACTGATGGCAGGCATTCTAATTCTGAGGCAGACCCTACTTCATTCTCTGGCATGGACAAATATTGAAATTGCTGTGCCTCAGTTTATTCATTTAGATGAAGCAGATTGGATTGTTGATATTACCATTTGTAATTCCAGCTTCATGGGATATGAGTTACTTGCAAAAATGATAGCTTAGCTTTCACTATTTAAATACTCCTTACCAAAGCATATTTGGTCAGAAAATACTGTATCTTCAGTCATATATACAGCTTCAAGTTTGGCTACCTAGATTGTCAAACTATAATTTGTTGCAAAAATCATAAGAACCATTACATGAAGTAGTATTTTGCATATGGTTGTTCAGAGGACAGAACATTTCTCTTCTTCTGGTGTTGTACGGGACTGACAGGAATTGCTGACATAAGAATTCAGGAATGTTAGGGAATATTATCATGCGATGATTTAGGAAAATCCCCAAATCAATTTCACCATCAATCAAGTGGCATACGGCATAACCACATCTTCCTCATCCCATTTGAATACCGATACCTTGCTCTCAAATCCTGATATATATAAAAGTGAAAATATCATGGAATTTTAATAATAAAAAGGATGTTAAAATGGTGAAACACATCAACCTTATTATCCAGATGTGGAAAGTAAACCCCTTAGAAAGTAACACATCATTTGACTGAATTCTTATCATTTCCAAAAAAAAAAATTGGAACTTCCAAACACTCCATTATATCTCACATAACACCTGAGGCTGCTAAAAGTTTGAATAGTATTATCAGATACCTCTACCTCTGTTCTAGTAACTATTTTTTTTTACTTTATTCCCACATAACAAGAGAGAATTTGCTTTTGTTGTTCCTTTACTATTAAAACTTACGTAAAATCAAAACTATATGAAAACATTTTTATAATAAGGAAAGTTATGGGATTTTGATGAAAATAAAGAGAAAACCTACAATATAACTAGAAGGGAGAATAAAGCTAGTTAAATCTTTATAGTAATAAATTTACAATGAGATATCAAAAACATGGACATTAAATGGAATAATGAAATATTATACACACACACAGACAATACTCATTTATTTAAACAGGAAGAAAAGTAAATATATTTAAGATTCAGCCCAAGAAATTTTACATGATTTACATTTAAATATTTAAGAATGCATTGTTATATAATGAAGCTTTTTAAAAGATAGGACAGAATTTTACTTGTAAGATGGCTCAGGTTCCATTTCAATAAATCCTAGTAAGATCTAGGAACTATATTATAGAGGAATAATTCTACCTATGAGTTAAAGATGAAAAGGAGTTGGCCTTTCTCATATCTCAAATTTCCCTAGTACAAAAGCTGAGAAGATAGTTGAAATGGCATTTCTATTCACCCGTTGTGCTTCTCATAGAAGCAAAAGAAAGGGTGCCAATTGCACTAGCAGTTTCTATTAGAAGAACTAGGGTGACACCATCAAGGTGTTTTTCATAGGCCACCACCATCCACTTTTGTTCATGATCAACTGCGATTGAATTTAAACTAGTAATCTAATAGTTGAAAAGCTTCTATAAAATTACTCTTCCAAAGACTTCTAATAAGAGTTTGCATTAAAGGTAGTATTGGCTACATTATCATCTTTTTCACGCATGACATTACCTACTTTCTGACTCACTGTTCAATTTAGAAAGACAGGATTGGATGGGAAATATATTTTTGATGATAATAGCATACTGGCTTCAAAATAATCTGTTTTGAATGAGATCAAAGCAGTTTCTTTTCAAACAACAATCTTTGTTTCTCCCTTTCCCCTTTAAAGTATGTTCCTTTCATTCTATCTTAAAGTTGCTTGAGAGGTAGTGATTTTCTTCATTGTTTTAAGGCTCTTTTGCCTGACTGCTATACTGATATTGTTCCACAGAGGAAAATGTCATGTAGAGTTCTTTTTCAAATTTCTTGATTTTATCAGTATCTATATTAGTATTATGTGGGTTTTTCCTTCTAGATTTGGTCATATATTTCTCTAAAGCATGATTCAATGTAATTCTCACCTGCCAGTGAAATCTGTAAGAGTGGTGAGCTAGAGCAGATCCCACACTGGTTTATGAAAGCCAGTGTGTCCTTCTCTCACCAACCCCATGTTCAGTCATGTCACATTGTTAACTTGAAATAACTATGGTGGGCATATTTATGACACAGAAATTATTAAATGTAACAAATTGATACCCCCCATTCCCCTGTAGAGCCTGTGTGAAATTTTTGCCAGTATACCACTAGATATGGAGCCACTTGTTTCAAGAACTTAAATCATTAAAATGTGTTGATTCCAACAGCATTCTCCCTCTTTGTCCTTCTGAATGTTTGATTTATTTTTTATTACTCTAAAGATGAGCCAATTCTACCAAATAGTATTATGTGTTATACTCAAACACAATAACTTTCAGCTTCCTCTTATCCTCACTATATCATTATCTTCTTCCTAATTAAGCTAACATATGGCTCACATTCTCTGTGACTATTTGACCCATCTCTTCACCACTAGCACAATCTGCCTTTCTTCTACAGGAAACTCCTTTTATCATCCCTCTTATCCCCATCCTCATAATAAGAGTTAACACTATGTGATGTTTAATGTTCTTTACTTTTTGTATAAGTAGGGCAATGAGATTATATTATGCCCCTAAATTCAAAATCTCAGCAATTTAAAACTGCAATGATTTATTTCTTACACTGGGTGTCCATCATGGATCAGTTGCATATCTGTACTTCATCATTTTCAGTCCAAGTTAGAATGTTGGCACGGCCTCTGTCTGGAGCAGTGTTGGTCTCCTGACAGTGAAAGAGAGACCCAATAAACCACAAGCTTGTGCTCTTAATGCTTCTTCCAGAAGTTACACATGAACCTTCTGTCCATATTTCATCCACCAAACCAAGTTGCAAGGGCATTCCTGGGTTAATCACAGTAGAGATGTATAGTACTCCCACAGGAAGCACACACTAATCACATAGCTAAGTCTAATGTCAGAAGTGTTGAACTCCTTTGGTATATCATTTGCTTTCCTATGTATTGTGGGCAATAGTTTTTCTAAATGATTCAAATCCTGCCTAACATGATTTCCCACTCCGTCAGCATCCAATAACAGTTCCCCCATTACCCTTCACTATCTTGAAACAACTGATTTTTTTTTGGGGGGGGAGGTTATTTGTCCCAACACATTCCAATTTTAAGTACCAAATTGTGAAGCAGTTATAATAACTAGGTTTCTGATGCCAAATTTCACATTCAGTGCCCATCACAAGTCAACAGTGACTGCATTATTTTCAGTTTTCATTTCATAATCCAGGGAGATGAAACAGTCTCATGTAAAACTGTTGAACTCCTGATTGAGAGCAAGATTGAGAGCAATATGCAAAAATATAAAATAATCCCACCTAGGTCTTTGCTGTTACCCATACATTTATAATATTGACTATATTTTTCCATTGACCAAAACAACTCATATTCACAACCAAATTATGATAAAGACAACAGTCCCTGTATCGTGACCAAATGACCATTGTATGCATCACGAGCGACCACACTACAGTGAGTGTAGAAAAAACTGAAATTTACTTGTATTTGGAGTGTTACTGGGGCAATCAAATGAAGAATGGAGGGGCAGATGCAATATGGATTCTCTGTCATTATCTGAAGGGCTCATGCCCACATCGGGAACTTTATATAGCTGGAATTTTACTTGAAATGGGGATGTGTGTTAGAAGTTTCTCCTCCCCAAAACTCCAGGAGTAGAGTTGCAGAGGTCTCCAATAGAATATTAAATTAATAGATCAACTCCTACAAAGTCAGATGCTGTAATGTCATATAGCAACTTGTCACCAGAGCAGAGAATGAAAAACCCTGCATCCCCAAATAGGGAGCTAGAGGACATTGGATAGTTGGACAGTGTTGGTGACTATTACTGGAGAATCTGTAGAATGGTGATTGTTGACTTGAGCTTGTAATTCCTGGATGTGAATAGCTAGAAAAAAACAGGTAGGGAAGGCCAGCTTGATTCATCTGTGTTTCCATAGAGACAGACCTACCCTACAGATCCAGCTGATTATGTAAATAACCTGGATTACCCCAGCTGGAGCCAAAGCCAAGAGAACAACTAAATGGCATACTGTTGTCAACTAGAGTCCAAAGCTTCTGGACACAGCAACTAGAACAATCACCTCAGGGCAAGGCTATGTACTTGCCCTTATAAGGTGAAGGACAAAAACCTAATAAACCAAGACTATCAAATCATACCTAGCTCCAGGTGCTACAGCTATTGAGAGAGGAATAAGAGAGGTTTGCAAGGGGATTCGTCTTTTGTGGAAAGCACAGACAACCTTGAGAAATAAACATTGCTTATATGCCTATTGTTATATATCAGAGAATAGCCAATGTGTAGCGCAGTCAGTGCTCAGATCATTTAGGTCCCATTCCACAGGTGAAGGAAAAGAGGGGAAACTGTTTGTCACAGAACCCACCTACAGCTAAAAGGTTGAAGTAGTCCAAGATTTTTCCCGGATGCTTTAGTTGAGGAATTGGCCTAGGTGTGGGTTATTTGTAGAACTCCATGACC